ACTGCAAAATGTCCAATTTGAAATAGTGCCAACATCTATCACCACAGGCACACTGACCTACATCCCGATTGGTTGAAACTGTATATATTGGATCTATGTATCTATCGAGTGTTGTACGTTATATAACATGTCGCAGATTTAGCGAATTCAGGTGAACGAACAGGTGTAACAAACTTAGTTGATAAAAATATGAAATTTGATATAAAACTTTCGCTGGACATGATTTACCATTTAAATTGTATTGCCTGCTCTCCATGTGTATTTTCTTGTAAACTATGGCGGAAATAGCAATCAGCTGTTCAATCAGTTCTCACAACGATATACTGGTGATTCAGTTTAAAAGTACCTATAATGATACAACTTCAAAGAATTTTGATACAATGGTCGGAACAAACTGTTTCTCAAATTATTATTTTTATCAGGAATAATTTATTCCAAAATCGTGTTATTTTAGTTGCAGCATTTACTGTATACATTTATAATTATAAGAACCATAACGTAACAACTTGATATCATTGAAAAGGGTAAGGCTCTCAACAAAATTATCTGGATTTGGGTTTCATATTGAATTCGTTTGTTTGTTTGATTGTTTATCGCTGCACTCAGCAATATTCCAGCTATATGATAGTGGTCTGTAAATAATTGAGTCTTGACCAGACAATCCAGTGATTGACATCAGGAACATCGACCCACGCAATTGGGATACAATGACATGCATCAACCAAGTCAGCGAGCCTGACCACCCGATCCCGTTCGTCACCTTTTACGACAAGGGTTGTCGCCTTTTACGGCAAGCATGGGTTGCTGAAGACCTATTTTAACCCGGGTGGACACGGGTCGTTTCATATATTTAAGAAACATTAAATACAAAGCCCAGAATGCTGCAGAATGTTCATCACCATCTTGACCTGATGTCCACAATCTGCAGCAGGAATAAAGCTCTGTATCCCATGCCCTGGAGGACCAGATCTAGGTGTCATACAAACATATTTCTGCTGCAGCCTTCGGGAGTCTGCCATCAACTTGTACAGGGAACTAACTCGCAGACACCTCTCGAGCCCAGTAACCATGTGCCTTGGTGGAAGACACAGGCTCCCTCATCAATAATCCGTCATCCACAAATAGCAGGATTTCCTAAAATAGCTGTGCCCATCTAAAAGTAACCTATTTGTGTATTAACATTAGACGACATATTTCAGGAAGGGCAGCTGAGGCTAAAGACATAGTAGGTGCTGATTCTATAAGAGAGAAAGCCCTATTGCCAGGATGTATTGATCTTGGTGACACACGCCAAAGGAAATGTGAGCTGTCAATCTGCCGCCTGAACAGCACTGGGCTTCCCGTGATGGTCACATGGATTAATCTGTGGCAGTTATATACCTGTTACATTAGCGGATCATGCCTCTACACATGGTCACTCTGTTCACTGGAACGCCGACGTTCACAGTTGTCGATGATCACAGAACCAACACCAGACATATGTGAAGCTTGCTCTGCTCATCAGATATTGGGAAATCCTGAAGTTTGGTAGCCTTAAAGACAGTGCTTGTGAAGGTATAGTGATTGTGAAGGTGGTCTTATTAGACATTGATTGTGAAGGTGGCCTTATTAGACAGTGATTGAGAAGGTACAGTGATTGTGAAGGTGGCCTAATTAGACAGTGATTGTGAAGGTGGTCTTATTAGACAGTGATTAAGAAGGAACAGTGATTGTGAAGGTGGCCTAATTAGACAGTGATTGTGAAGGTGGTCTTATTAGACAGTGATTAAGAAGGAACAGTGATTGTGAAGGTGGTCTTAATAGGTGTGGTGCTGCCTCAGAAGCTGGGGTGACGAGACACAGGGAGTGTGATATATTTTCTGTTTCTATGGCAACAAGCTTGACTTTGACTCTGTTCATATTGATGTGTACCTGACAGAAATACAAAGACAAGATCAGATAGAAGTTCTCTCATCAGGTTAGACTTAAAGTTATAGTCAGATGATTTCAGAATCTGTGGGGACCGTGGGAGATTTGTCATCTTTTGATGACTCTTGTCTTGGTGTGTGTGTGTGTGTGTGTGTGTGTGTGTGTGTGTGTGTGTGTGTGTGAGAGAGAGAGTGCATGTGTGTGTGTGTGTGTGTGTGTGTGTGTGTGTGTGTGTGTGTGTGTGTGTGTGTGTGTGTGTGTGTGCATGTGTGTGTCTGTGTGAGTGTGTGTGCATGTGTGTGTCTGTGTGTGTGAGTGAGTGGGCATGTGTGTGTGTGAGTGTGTATGTGTGTGTCTGTGTGAGTGCATGTGTGTGTCTGTGTGAGTGTGTATGTGTGAGTGTATGTCTGTGTGTGTGTCTATGTGAGTGCATGTGTGAGTGTGTGTGAGTGTGCATGTGTCTGTGTGAGTGTGCATGTGTGTGTGTGTCTGTGTATGTGAGTGTGTGCATGTGTGTCTGTGTATGTGAGTGTGTGCATGTGTGTCTGCATATGTGAGTGTGCATGTGTCTGTGTGAGTGTGTGTATGTGAGTGTGCATGTGTGTGTGTCTGTGTATGTGAGTGCGCATGTGTCTGTGTGAGTGTGCATGTGTGTGTGTGTCTGTGTATGTGAGATAGACACAATATTTTTATGGATAACAACTTCTTTAATACTGTGAAAAGCGACGTTTCACGTTGTCAAGCAAGACTGAATGAGGGACATAGTTCAGAATATATCTAGTAGGTAGAGGATTAACAGTAGAGGATTAACAGTAACAACAAAGCATACATGAGTGGGATAACATAGGTAGGTGTGACAACAAAGGGATGATGCTGTCACAACACGATGGACAGAAAACACATAGCTAGAAGCCAATAGGGGCATGAAGCCAATAAACAGGTGATTATTGTTTGATGAGCTCATAGTAGGCGGGTGGGATGAAATAGCGTATGAAATCTGTGTATGTGAGTGTGTGCATGTGTGTCTGTGTATGTGAGTGTGTGCATGTGTGTCTGTGTATGTGAGTGTGCATGTGTCTGTATGAGTGTGTGCATGTGTGTGTGACTGAGTGTGCATGTGTGTGTCATGTGTAAATGTGTCTGGGTGTGTGTGAGTGTTTCTGCACCTGTGTGTGCGTGCGCCACAGTTGTATTAATGCGAATTATTTTCTTTCAAATTTCAACATTATTTAGGGACTGGTTATATATAAATGTTGCATACAATTGGCAAAATATCATTTAGTCCTAAGACAAATCCCTTGCCCCTCCCACACCCCCTCCCCAGTCTACCTTAGGTACCTCAATGCAGTCAACAGAGGAGCCAGGTGCTAACATTATTACAGTTGTTACAGCAGTCTGTCATTTTTTATGGGGTTGATTTGGGGTGGGGTGATGTTTGTGGGATGTGGGTTGTGTGTCAGGGTGGGGGGTTGTATGTTGGGTGGTAGGTTCTTTGTGGATTGGTGTTGTTTGTGGATGTGGGGTTGTTTGTGGATGTGGGGTTGTTTGTGGATTGGGGTTGTTTGTGGATATGGGGTTGTTTGTGGATTGGGGTTGTTTGTGGATGTGGGGTTGTTTGTGGATTGGGGTTGTTTGTGGATGTGGGGTTGTTTGTGGATGTTGGGTTGTTTGTGGATTGGGGTTGTTTGTGGATGTGGGGTTGTTTGTGGATTGGGGTTGTTTGTGGATGTGGGGTTGTTTGTGGATGTGGGGTTGCTTTAGTGTGTGTGGGTGTGGGGGATTCTTTATGGGGTTAGGGGCAGGAGTAAGATGTAATTTCACAACATGTTTTGGTATAAAAAGTTATGTCTTGTTAAACATTATATGTTTATCATCATGGATAATGTTGGGTTCTCAGGGAGGAACGACAAACGCGGGAGCAGGGAGACGAGCCTGCCACTTGACCGGCTGTTTATTCCGACTGTCGCATGTTACATAACAGCACGTGATTGCGCTTACCTGCAACTAATAGCATTACAAGAGCGGACATCTGTTGGCCTGTCATAATATTATACACTAGCTTGTTTAAAACTACTGCGTTTCAATTAAAGATATAACATCCGCCCCTCCTAAATTTAAGTTACTTTGAAACCAAAATAATAATCTTTGATAAACAACATAGTCCACGGAACTTCATAAAGTATAAGTAACTTAACAATGTACACTGACTCTTGTAAAGTACTAATAACCCTGTGACTTGACAAGTCAGTCATAATGAAAACATTGTTAAAGTAGAAAGTGAAATTTAACTAAACTGAGCTTTTTTTTCGACACATAATAATACTGATAACCTGCTGAAGTATTATAGTCCTGATACAAGTAACTGTAATTCACAGCTAAATCAAATGCCACCTTGACACATAGTTCACTGCAAATGACAGTCACAGTTCACTCAAATGTCACTTTGACACAAAGTCCCTCAGATAAGACGGTTGCTGCTTCACTCTGGTTGAACGACGAAGTATGGGTGCTACAGGCGATGTCACTACCGGCGTTTCCTCCCCCGGTTCAGACATATCTGGTACACTTGAAACATCCCCTTGGATACTTTCCTCATGGGAATCTACCTGTGATGTGTCAGGTAAGTCTGATTCATACTCCTTCCTTCGTGAAGACTGTGATTCTAGCGGAGTGTCTGAACGTTCAATCACGTCCCTTCGGGGTGAAGATAAAGACATCCTGCGTCTGACATGATCCACATGCCTTCTGACCAATCTTCCATCCGTTAACTTGATGATGTACGACAATGGACCAGTTACACTATCAACTTGTCCACTAATCCACTTTGGACCTGAAGCAAAGTTCTTAACCCACACCGAGTCATTCACTTGGAATGCCCTACATTTCGTTAGAGCTGACTGATCCACAAGTTTTCTCTGGTTCTTTTTCACCTTTGAGGCAAGGTTTGGAAACATCAAGTCCAATCGCGAACGCAATCTGCGTCCAAGAAACAACATTGAAGGTGATACACCAGTTGTAGACTGTGGTGTAATTCTATAAGAAAATAGTAACCTATGTAGTTGAGTTGCAACTGTGTCACCAGTTGTCTTCTTTTATCCATCTTTTATTATTTGAACCGCCCTTTCTGCTAAGCCATTCCCAGCCGGGTGATGAGGGGATGTTGTCACATGTTCAACTCCATTTCTGGACATAAATGTAGCAAATTCTTCCCCAACAAAAGCTGTAGCATTATCAGTTACAATAATTTCTGGTATGCCATAAGCTGCAAACATCCGACGCAGCTGGTTTATGGTAGCCTTTGCATTTGACGACGACATAGGTGCACATTCGATCCATTTGGAGTAGGCGTCAATCACTATAAGAAACATGCTACCCATGAATGGACCAGCATAATCCATATGCAGTCTTTGCCAAGGTTGAGAAGGATACTCCCAAGGGTGTAGGGGAGCTACACTCGGACAATTCCTGTCTTCCTGGCAGGAATCACAACTGTTTACTGTTGTTTCTATGTCAGCATCTAGATGCGGCCACCAAACATAGCTTCGGGCCAAGCCCTTCATCCTGGTGATTCCTGGGTGGGACTGATGCAACTCTGACAATATTACAGATCTGAATTTCAATGGAATGATGACCCTCGAACCTCTCAATAAGCATCCATCCATCACACTGAGTTCAGAACGAACTCTGTAGTACGGCTCATAGTGGTCATCCAACTTGTCACGCTGCGGCCAACCTCGGATCACAAATTCTCGAACAATAGACAATGTTCGGTCCTTGCCAGTCTGGATACTTATGTCTTTAGACTTCAGAGGGCATGTGTCCAATTCCTGAAGCATTAAGACTGTCATGTCTTCCATAGGCTTCCCTGAGTCAGGCGCTGGCAACCTGCTCAATGCGTCTGCATTGGTATGCTGTGTACCTTTCCTGTGTACAATTTTATAGTCATATGCAGTCAACAACACTGACCATCTCTGAACTCTTGGAGACACCATCTGTGGCACTGGATTATTCTCATTGAATAATGACACCAACGGCTTGTGATCTGTCACGATCTGGAAATGACGTCCATAAACATACTTATGAAACTTTCGCAGTCCAAAGATCACACTCAGTCCTTCACGATCAAGTTGAGAATAATTCTGCTCTGCCTTAGTCAGTGTCCTTGAAGCAAAACTTATAGGTCTCTCCGAACCATCTGGCAGTTGGTGAGCCAACACAACACCTACTCCGTAGGGGGATGCATCACACTGCAGTAAAAGTGGTTTGGAGCTGTCAAAATGAATCAAGACATCCGAAGACTGAAGCAAGTTCTTCGACTTCTCAAACGCTTTTTGTTGAGATGTACTCCATGACCATTTCACTTCTTTTTGTAGCAACTTGTACAAGGGGGAGAGAGTGTCAGGCAGATTTGGTAGAAACCTATGGTAGTAGTTCAGAATACCAAGATAAGCTCTCAATTCTTTCACATTTTCAGGGACCTTAGCTTCCTGAATTGCAGCAATCTTTTTCTCCACTGGATGCAAACCTTCACTGTCAAGTCTATAACCAAGATATTCAACTTCATCAGCCATAAAGACACACTTGTTTCTTCTCAAACGTAATCCTGCTTCTGACAATCGATGAAGTACTTCATCCAGAATACGAAGATGCTCACTGTCGTCGATTCCAGAGTTTATGATATCGTCGAGATAACCCGCTGAGTAATCGAGTCCCTGTAGAATACTTTCAATCATCCGTTGAAAGATAGCGGGTGCCGAAGATACTCCAAATGGCAATCTTGTGTACCTAAAGAGTCCTTTGTGGGTGTTAATCACGACATATTTTCGCGATTCTTCATCCAAGACTAACTGTTGATACGCATGACTCATGTCAAGTTTGGTGAACTTTACACCCCCAGATAGCTTCGTGCACAAATCTTCCAACGTCGGTATTGGATATTGCTCCAATTTTGAAAACTGATTCACTGTCAGTTTAAAATCTCCACAAATCCTGACAGAAGAATCAGGTTTAATGACTGGCACAATGAGACACGCCCACTCAGAATGCTTGATTGGCTCAATAATGCCTTCACTCAGCAAGCGATCAAGTTCAACTTCTATCTTCTGACGTAATGCATACGGCACAGATCTAGGTTTGAAAAACTTCGGAGTTGCATCTTTATCCACGTAGATGTGAGCTTGGAATCCCTTAAGTGTTCCAAGACCTTCCTCAAAAACAGCTGAGTGTCGTTCAAGAACATCATTACGTATCAAATCTGTAGATTTCATAAGGTTCACCGAAACATCCCTCAGGTCAAAGTTCAAAGGCTGTACCCATGTACGACCTAGAAGATTGGAACCATTACCCTTGGCTATGGAAATCGGTAAGGAGTAAGATCTCTCCTCGTAAGATACTTCCACAGTAGTATAACCGTTCAAATCTACTTCCTGTCCTGTATAACTTCGCAGGGGTACTTGTGACGTGTATAATGTCGATGACTGAAGGCCAATTCTTTGAGCCGTCTGCTCATTCACAATGGTCACTGGGCATCCCGTGTCAACCTCAAACGTCACTGGTGTGCCATTAACATCCACTGTAATGTAGTAGGGGTTTGGGTAGTTTGGATCACCTTTAGCCGAAGGCTGAGTACTAACATGAAATAGCGAGTTCTCAAACAAGTCTTCCACACTAGCACTGCTATTACCTGGGCCACACGAGTTCACCTCACTCACTACAGCATTCACTTTCTGTCTTCCCTTGAATTTAGCCTTAGAATTCTGTTTCTGCGGAATTGATTCTTCTGACCTGCAGACTCTCACAATATGGCCACGTTTTCCACACTTATGACACTTCTCATTCTTATAAAAACACATGTGTGGAGCATGAGTAGTTTTTCCACATCTAAAACAAGGTTTGTTATTTCCAGATCCAACATGAGGCCTCTGGTCTTTTGTAGATTGTGCTGATGGTTTACTGCGAAACTTGTGTACTGAATGTCCCACAGTTTTATCACCGTGAAGATCCTGTAGATTCTTGTCTGCCGCCTCAATTGCGTTAGCAATTTTCAATGCACTACTAAATGTTAGAGCAGTCTCTGACAACAACTTTTTCTGAATATTGTCATCACAAATACCACACACTAACCTGGCTCTCAACATGGCCTGTAAAGACGTTCCAAAATCACACCCGTCAGTCAACTTTCTCAATTCGGCGACATAAGCAGCTACACTTTCACCAGCCTTCCTATTCCGTGAATGAAATTTAAATCTCTGTACAATTTCCAATGGTTTTGGCGTGAAATGTTCTTTCAATAAAACCACCAGCTGGTCAAACGTTTTCTCGCTAGGTTTCACGGGCTGAACCAATGCTCTTATCAACTGGTAAGTTTCAGTTCCACATGACGCTAACAGTATGCTTTTCTGTTTGTCTTCGTCTGTAATTCCGTTTGCCACGAAAACATGTGTCAGTATCTCACACCATTCCTCCCATGTCGACTTCTTTGGATTAAATTCAAACAATCCACAAACAAAACCCGTGGTAGCCATAATCTCTGAGCTGAAGATAGTGACGGTTATAATGCCTCAAGAAGAGCGAAACAAAAGTCAATGTTCATCTATACCGCTTCTCCTACTTCACACTGACGGGTGAAACAAAGGTCAGCAGACCACGTGCTCTTGGCTAACACACTCGTCGCAACGAACACACCTCGTCAATGTATCGTCAAACAGCCAGATAAACGTACCAAAATTCCTTTACATATACTTCATAGCTACCTTGGATCCCATCCTCGTCGCCAAAATGTTGGGTTCTCAGGGAGGAACGACAAACGCGGGAGCAGGGAGACGAGCCTGCCACTTGACCGGCTGTTTATTCCGACTGTCGCATGTTACATAACAGCACGTGATTGCGCTTACCTGCAACTAATCGCATTACAAGAGCGGACATCTGTTGGCCTGTCATAATATTATACACTAGCTTGTTTAAAACTACTGCGTTTCAATTACAGATATAACAGATAACATGCACAGAAAATACTGAAAAACTTTTTGATGTCTTGAGCTGCCTCTTACGCCTGTTATTGCGTGTTTCAGAGGCCTGACCCCAAGTAACTCCGGACGTCCTTCCCCCCAGGTGAGGCAAGACCTTTGTTCAGCTTGTAACCATGGTGCTGACTGGCTACGGCAGTAAGCGATCAGGCTCGCGTGGTTCGACACGAGCTGTGGACATCCCTCTCGAAACTATCAAGCAGGGAAGTAGGATGGACCCCCAAGAGAGGATATTTTTAGAGGCAGCAGAAAAGGGAGATAAGCCGACAATGATCCGTTGTCTCCATGGTTCGAATCCAGTGAACGTCAACTGTACAGACATGTTGGGCCGCTCAGCCATTCAGATTGCTGTTGATAACGAAAACATGGAAATTGTAGAGCTGCTGCTGAAGCAGGATGGGGTTAAAATCGGTGATGCGTTGTTGTACGCAATAAGGGAAGGCGTGTATCGTATTGTCGAGATGTTGATTGAGCATCCTTCAATTACACGAGAAATGCTGGGTTATGATTGGTCAAAAACTCGTCATATGGATGAAGAAAGTTTTGACTATTCTCCCGATATTTCTCCAGTGATTCTGGCAGCTCATTGCAACCAGTTTGAGATACTGCAACTTTTACTACTCCATGGTGCAACCATTGAACGGCCTCATCAGTTATCATGCTCCTGCAAGCGATGTCAAGCACAAGTGCATGCTGACAGCTTACGCCATTCACTACTCAGAATCAATACCTATCGGGCCTTAGCAAGTCCGGCGTGGATCTCCCTCACCAGCCCCGACCCGGTCCTCGCAGCCTTCATGTTGTCCTGGGAGCTCGACAAACTGGCGCTCCGCGAAAATGAATTCAAAGACTCGTACCTTCAGCTGGCTCATCAGTGTCGGAAGTATGCGTGTGACCTCCTGGACCAGTGTCGCAGCAGCGAGGAGGTGATTGCGGTGCTGAACAAGATGACGGACGGCGAGGAGGAGGACGAGGAAGAGGAGGAGGATGACGGAAACGATAAGCTCACCTTGTCCAGATTAAAACTGGCCCTTAAGTATGAGCAAAAACAGGTGAAGCAAATTTATTATTTTGTTATTTTTATAGTTGTCAACTCTCTTGATTCACTTAGCTGACTGTAAACCTCGTGGGCAACTTTGTCCGCTGTAGAAAACAACAATCACAGTTTCCACGCCTTCATTGCTGACCACTGTCATTACCTTTCCTTGTTAGTTGCTCAGACTATAAACAAGTGTCTTTTAGTGTTAAATATATATAGCTCACCTTCTCAACCTACTTTTTGCTTTTGTTATTGCTTCCAGTATATGAAATCAGTTAAAAGGTTTCACCGGCTCTATAACAACCTTATACAATAGCTTATCACAACAGCTGTGTCTTGCAGCTCATCTAATCATTATGACTGACTTATTTCCAGTTTGTAGCTCACCTGATCTCTCTTAATCTGACCTGTATTTCCAGTCTGTAAGTCACCTGATATCTATTAATCTCAGCTGTATTTTCAATCTGAAGCTCACCTGATCATTATAAATCTGACCTGTATTTCTAGTCTGTAGCTCATCTAATATCTATTAATCTCAGCTGTAATTTCAGTCTTTAGCTCACCTGATATCTATTAATCTCAGCTGAACTTTCAGAGTGTAGCTCATCTAATATCTCTATTCTCAGCTGTAATTTCATTCTGAAGCTCACCTAATTTCTGTAAGTCTGACCTGTATTTCCAGTTTGTAGCTCACCCGCACTGTCAACAGCTCCTCACCTCCATCTGGTACGAGGGACTTCCAGGATGGAGGAAGCGCAACGGCTTCACCAAGTTCCTCATCTGCATCGGGCTCATCCTCCTGCTTCCCTTCATGGCCGTGTACTACTGGGTCTTCCCTCGCAGTAAAATCGGACAACTCCTTCGAAGCCCATTCATGAAGTTCCTCTACCATAGCGCATCATTCGGAGTGTTTCTGTTTCTGCTAGTGTGTGCGTCAACAGACATCAGTACTTCTCATAAGCGGGAGAAATTCCGAGGATTACCTCCGTCGGAGCTGGAGTGGTTGATAGTGCTGTGGGTGACAGGTAAGTGATCACCTTTGCTTGTGAGTGAGTGAGTGAGTGAGTGAGTGAGTGAATGGCAGGTAAGGACATCGCTGCCGTACATTGCACTGCTGGGAGTCACTACCAGGACTCTGCTAGTAATAGTGAATGAGTTGGGTGTTATGATGCTTCCACCAATAGTCCTGCAGTATCTCGCCGGGGATCACCAGACAAGGGTTTCATTGAACCATAGAGGAACAAACTTTTTACTCCCTATCACACCGCCACTAATTTCAGGTGATTGTGAGATTGATATCACATAGGTGCTGCAGGTCACTGAGAGACTGAGAGACTGACAGATGGTGAGACTGAGAGACTGACAGATGGAGAGACACTAACAGATGGAGAGACTGACAGATGGAGAGACACTGACAGACAGAAAGACTGACAGATGGAGAGACTGACAGACAGAGAGACTGACAGATAGAGAGACTGACAGATGTAGAGACTGACAGATGGAGAGACTGACAGACAGACTGACAGACAGATGGACTGACAGATGGAGAGACTGACAGACAGAGAGACTGACAGACAGATGGACTGACAGATGGAGAGACTGACAGACAGATGGACTGACAGATGGAGAGACTGACAGACAGAGAGACTGACAGATAAAGAGACTGACAGATGGAGAGACTGACAGACTGACATATGGAGAGACTGACAGATAAAGAGACTGACAGATGGAGAAACTGACAGATAGAGAGACTGACAGATGGAGAGACTGACAGACTGACATATGGAGTGACTGACAGATGGAGAGACTGACAGATGGAGAAACTGACAGATGTAGAGACTGACAGATGGAGAGACTGACAGATGGAGAGACTGACAGATGTAGAAACTGACAGATGGAGAGACTGACAGATGGAGAGACTGACAGATGGAGAGACTGACAGATAGAGAGACTGACAGATGGACTGACAGAGAGACTGACATATGGAGAGACTGACAGATGGAGAGACTGACAGATGGAGAGACTGACAGACTGACATATGGAGAGACTGACAGATGGAGAGACTGACAGATGGAGAAACTGACAGATGTAGAGACTGACAGATGGAGAGACTGACAGATGGAGAGACTGACAGATGTAGAAACTGACAGATGGAGAGACTGACAGATGGAGAGACTGACAGATTGAGAGACTGACAGATGGAGAGACTGACAGATGGAGAGACTGACATTTGGAGAGACTGACAGACAGATGGACTGACAGATGGAGAGACCGACAGATGGAGAGACTGACAGATGGAGAAACTGACAGATTGAGAAACTGACAGAATGATAGATGGAGAGACTGACAGATGGAGAGACTGACAGATTGAGAGACTGACAGATGGAGAGACTGACAGACAGAGATACTGACATATGGAGAGACTGACAGATGGAGAGACTGACAGATGGAGAGACTGACAGATGTAGAAACTGACAGATGGAGAGACTGACAGATGGAGAGACTGACGGATGGAGAGACTGACAGATGGAGAGACTGACAGATGGAGAGACTGACAGACAGAGAATGACAGATAGAGAGACTGACAGATGGAGAGACTGACAGATGGAGAGACTGACAGATGGAGAGACTGACAGATAGAGAGACTGACAGATGGACTGACAGACAGAGAGACTGACAGATGGAGAGACTGACAGATGGAGAGACTGACAGACAGAGAGAATGACAGATAGAGAGACTGACAGATGGAGAGCCTGACAGATGGAGAGACTGACAGACAGAGAGACTGACAGATAGAGAGACTGACAGATGGAGAGACTGACAGATGGAGAGACTGACAGATAGAGAGATTGACAGATGGACTGACAGACAGAGAGACTGACAGATGGAGAGACTGACAGATGGAGAGACTGACAGATGGAGAGACTGACAGACAGAGAGACTGACAGACAGAGAGACTGACAGTTAGAGAGACTCACAGATGTAGAGACTGACAGACAGATGGACTGACAGATGGAGAGCCTGACAGATGGAGAGCCTGACATATGGAGAGACTGACAGATGGAGAGACTGACAGATGGAGAGACTGACAGATAGAGAGACTGACAGACAGAGAAACTGACAGATTGAGAAACTGACAGAATGACAGATGGAGAGATTGACAGATGGGGAGACTAACTGATGGAGAGACTGACAGACGGAGAGACTTACTAATTGAGAGTGACAGATGGAGAGACTGACAGACTGACAGATGGAGAGACTGACAGATGGAGAGACTGACAGATGGAGAGACTAACTGATGGAGAGACTGACAGATGGACAGACTAACTGATGGAGAGACTGACAGACGGAGAGACTTACTAATGGAGAGACTGACAGATGGAGAGACTGACAAACTGACAGACAGAGAGACTGACAGATGGAGAGACTGACAGATGGACAGACTAACTGATGGAGAGACTGACAGACGGAGAGACTGACAGATGGAGAGACTGACAGATAGAGAGACTGACAAACTGACAGACAGAGAGACTGACAGATGGAGAGACTGACAGATGGTGAGACTAAGTGATGGAGAGACTGACAGACTGACAGATGGAGCGATAATATAATATAAGAAGAAGTCTTTAGGTAGCCACTGACACTGTGCAATATAAGAAGTAGTCTTCAGGTAGCCACTGACAGTGTGCAAAATAAGAAATAGTCTTCAGGTAACCACTGACACTGTGCAATATAAGAAGTAGTCTTCAGGTAGCCACTGACACTGTGCAATATAAGAAGTAGTCTTCAGGTAACCACTGACAGTGTGCAATATCAGGAGTAGTCTTAACGTAACCACTGACAGGGTGCAATATAAGAAGAAGTCTTCATGTAACCACTGACACTGTGCAATATAAGGAGTAGTCTTCAGGTAACCACTGACAGGGTGCAATATAAGAAGTAGTCTTCAGGTAACCACTGACACTGTGCAATATAAGAAGTAGTCTTCAGGTAACCACTGACACTGTGCAATATAAGAAGTAGTCTTCAGGTAGCCACTGACAGTGTGCAATATAAGGAGTAGTCTTCAGGTAGCCACTGACACTGTGCAATATAAGAAGTAGTCTTCAGGTAACCACTGACAGGGTGCAATATAAGAAGTAGTCTTCAGGTAACCACTGACAGTGTGCAATATAAGAAGTAGTCTTCAGGTAACCACTGACACTGTGCAATATAAGGAGTAGTCTTCAGGTAACCACTGACAGGGTGCAATATAAGAAGTAGTCTTCAGGTAACCACTGACACTGTGCAATATAAGGAGTAGTCTTCATGTAACCACTGACACTGTGCAATATAAGAAGTAGTCTTCAGGTAGCCACTGACACTGTGCAATATAAGGAGTAGTCTTCAGGTAACCACTGACAGGGTGCAATATAAGAAGAAGTCTTCAGGTAACCACTGACAGGGTGCAATATAAGAAGTAGTCTTCAGGTAGCCACTGACACTGTGCAATATAAGAAGTAGTCTTCAGGTAACCACTGACACTGTGCAATATAAGAAGAAGTATTCAGGTAGCCACTGACAGGGTGCAATATAAGAAGAAGTCTTCAGGTAACCACTGACACTGTGCAATATAAGAAGTAGTCTTCAGGTAGCCACTGACACTTTGCAATATAAGAAGTAGTCTTCATGTAACCACTGACACTTTGCAATATAAGAAGTAGTCTTCAGGTAGCCACTGACACTGTGCAATATAAGAAGTAGTCTTCAGGTAGCCACTGACACTGTGCAATATAAGAAGAAGTCTTTAGGTAGCCACTGACATTGTGCAATATAAGAAGTAGTCTTCATGTAACCACTGACACTGTGCAATATAAGAAGTAGTCTTCAGGTAGCCACTGACAGTGTGCAATATAAGAAGTAGTCTTCAGGTAACCACTGACACTGTGCAATATAAGAAGTAGTCTTCAGGTAGCCACTGACACTGTGCAATATAAGAAGTAGTCTTCAGGTAACCACTGACACTGTGCAATATAAGAAGAAGTATTCAGGTAGCCACTGACAGTGTGCAATATAAGAAGTAGTCTTCAGGTCACCACTGACATTGTGCAATATAAGAAGTAGTCTTCAGGTAGCCACTGACACTGTGCAATATAAGAAGTAGTCTTCATGTAACCACTGACACTTTGCAATATAAGAAGTAGTCTTCAGGTAGCCACTGCACTGTGCAATATAAGAAGTAGTCTTCATGTAACCACTGACACTTTGCAATATAAGAAGAAGTCTTCAGGTAGCCACTGACACTGTGCAATATCAGAGATAGTAGTCTTAAGGCAACCATTGACACTGTGCAATATAAGAAGTCTTCAGGTAACCATTGACACTGTGCAATATAAGAAGTCTTCAGGTAAGCACTGACAGTGTGCAATATAAGAAGTAGTCTTCAGGTAGCCACTAACATTGTGCAATATCAGAGATAGTAGTCTTCAGGTAACCATTGACACTGTGCAATATAAGAAGTCTTCAGGTAACCACTGACAGTGTGCAATATAAGAAGTAGTCTTCATGTAACCACTGACAGTGTGCAATATAAGAAGTAGTCTTCAGGTAACCACTGACATTGTGCAATATCAGAGATAGTAGTCTTCAGGTAACCATTGACACTGTGCAATATAAGAAGTCTTCAGGTAACCACTGACACTGTGCAATATAAGAAGTAGTCTTCAGGTAGCCACTGACACTGTGCAATATAAGAAGTAGTCTTCAGGTAGCCACTGACAGTGTGCAATATAAGTAGTAGTCTTCAGGTAACCACTGACAGTGTGCAATATAAGAAGTAGTCTTCATGTAACCACTGACACTGTGCAATATAAGAAGTAGTCTTCAGGTAACCACTGACACTGTGCAATATAAGAAGTAGTCTTCAGGTAACCACTGACAGTGTGCAATATCAGGAGTAGTCTTCACGTAACCACTGACAGGGTGCAATATAAGAAGAAGTCTTCAGGTAGCCACTAACATTGTGCAATATCAGAGATAGTAGTCTTCAGGTAACCATTGACACTGTGCAATATAAGAAGTCTTCAGGTAACCACTGACACTGTGCAATATAAGAAGTAGTCTTCAGGTAACCACTGACACTGTGCAATATAAGAAGTAGTCTTCAGGTAGCCACTGACACTGTGCAATATAAGAAGTAGTCTTCAGGTAGCCACTGACACTGTGCAATATAAGAGGTAGTCTTCAGGGAACCACTGACAGTGTGCAATATAAGGAGTAGTCTTCATGTAACCACTGACAGGGTGCAATATAAGAAGTAGTCTTCAGGTAGCCACTGACACTGTGCAATATAAGAAGTCTTCATGTAACCACTGACAGTGTGCAATATAAGGAGTAGTCTTCATGTAACCACTGACACTGTGCAATATAAGAAGTAGTCTTCAGGTAGCCACTGACACTGTGCAATATAAGAAGTCTTCATGTAACCACTGACAGTGTGCAATATAAGAAGAAGTCTTCAGGTAACCACTGACACTGTGCAATATAAGAAGTCTTCAGGTAACCACTGACAGTGTGCAATATAAGAAGTAGTCTTCAGGTAACCACTGACACTGTGCAATATAAGGAGTAGTCTTCAGGTAACCACTGACAGTGTGCAATATAAGTAGTAGTCTTCAGGTAACCACTGACAGTGTGCAATATAAGAAGTAGTCTTCAGGTAGCCACTGACACTGTGCAATATAAGAAGTAGTCTTCATGTAACCACTGACACTGTGCAATATAAGAAGTAGTCTTCAGGTAGCCACTGACAGTGTGCAATATAAGAAGTAGTCTTCAGGTAGCCACTAACATTGTGCAATATCAGAGATAGTAGTCTTCAGGTAACCATTGACACTGTGCAATATAAGAAGTCTTCAGGTAACCACTGACACTGTGCAATATAAGAAGTAGTCTTCAGGTAACCACTGACACTGTGCAATATAAGAAGTAGTCTTCAGGTAGCCACTGACACTGTGCAATATAAGAAGTAGTCTTCAGGTAGCCACTGACACTGTGCAATATAAGAGGTAGTCTTCAGGGAACCACTGACAGTGTGCAATATAAGGAGTAGTCTTCATGTAACCACTGACAGGGTGCAATATAAGAAGTAGTCTTCAGGTAGCCACTGACACTGTGCAATATAAGAAGTCTTCATGTAACCACTGACAGTGTGCAATATAAGGAGTAGTCTTCATGTAACCACTGACACTGTGCAATATAAGAAGTAGTCTTCAGGTAGCCACTGACACTGTGCAATATAAGAAGTCTTCATGTAACCACTGACAGTGTGCAATATAAGAAGAAGTCTTCAGGTAACCACTGACACTGTGCAATATAAGAAGTCTTCAGGTAACCACTGACAGTGTGCAATATAAGAAGTAGTCTTCAGGTAACCACTGACACTGTGCAATATAAGGAGTAGTCTTCAGGTAACCACCATAATTTAGGCTCCTTTGACTTCCTGGCAATTCCCGATGCAGCCAGGTCAAAGGTCATTTAGGGATGTCAAGCAGATCAGTATTTCAGTTTTTAGAAAAACAACATATTGCAGCTAGATGCGTTTGTGGAGCCTCAGTAGATCACGACTGTCAGACTTACAGGTCCACTTTGTCAACAAGGCTTGACGTATTGATTCTTGAACTAAGCTGACAGTAATTGACATGTTCGGTGTCAGGTTTCGTTCTGTTTTACATTGCTGGTCATTATGGAGCTGCCACAGCCTTATCTCAACAGCCCGCAAATTGATTTTCTCCTGATAGTTTGTCCTGCCCCCAATAGTATGTTCTCTCCCTGGTAAAGTACTGTCAGAAATGCTAGAAAAATGCTTCTCTAATTTCATTTGATAAATATGAGTGAGTTGGGTTTAATGGTTTGCCTTTGAACAGTATTCCAGTATCACGGCGTGTCAGCTTAATGCGGGAGAAAAGTCCGAGGTGATGCAGGTCTCAGACGTTTACCACCTTGGTCATGTATTTTCAGGGCTTATATGGATGAAGTGTAATATATTGTCATGTATTTTCAGGGTTTATATGGATGGAGCGCAATATATGATCATGTATTTTCAGGGTTTATATGGGTGGAGTGTAATATATAGTCATGTATTTTCAGGGTTTATATGGATGGAGCGCAATATATGATCATGTATTTTCAGGGTTTATATGGATGGAGCGCAATATATGATCATGTATTTTCAGGGTTTATATGGGTGGAGTGTAATATATAGTCATGTATTTTCAGGGTTTATATGGATGAAGTGTAATATATTGTCATGTATTTTCAGGGTTTATATGGATGGAGCGCAATATATAATCATGTATTTTCAGGGTTTATATGGGTGGAGTGTAATATATAGTCATGTATTTTCAGGGCTTATATGGATGGAGCGCAATATATGATCATGTATTTTCAGGGTTTATATGGGTGAAGTGTAATATATAGTCATGTATTTTCAGGGTTTATATGGATGGAGCGCAATATATGATCATGTATTTTCAGGGTTTATATGGGTGGAGTGTAATATATAGTCATGTATTTTCAGGGTTTATATGGGTGGAGTGTAATATATAGTCATGTATTTTCAGGGTTTATATGGATGGAGTGTAATATATAGTCATGTATTTTCAGGGTTTATATGGGTGGAGTGTAATATATAGTCATGTATTTTCAGGGTTTATATGGATCAAGCGTAATAAATTGTCATGTATTTTCAGGGTTTATATGGACGGAGTGCAATGTACAGTTATGTATTTTCAGGGTTTATATGGATGAAGCGTAATATATTGTCATGTATTTTCAGGGTTTATATGGACGGATTGCAATATATGGTCATGTATTTTCAGGGTTTATATGGATGAAGCGTAATATATTGTCATGTATTTTCAGGGTTTATATGGATAGAGTGTAATATATTGTCATGTATTTTCAGGGTTGATGTGGACAGTTCGCACTATATAGTCATGTACTTTCAGGGTTAATATGGACGGAGCGCAATATATGGTTGTGTATTTTCAGGGTTTATATGGGCGGAGTGCAAGCAGCTGTGGGAGGAGGGTCTGAAGGCGTACGTGCGGCAGTGGTGGAACTGGCTAGACTTCATCATGCTGTCCCTGTATCTGGCAACATTCTCACTGCGATGTGTTGCATTCCTCCAGATCGAGTCTGGTAACTACGGACCAAAAGAACTAGCCAGGAGCGACTGGCCGCACAACGAACCAACCCTCATATCAGAGTCTCTATTTGCCATTGCAAATGTTTTTAGCTTTGCTCGGATTATATACCTGTTCCAAGCCAACCAGCATCTGGGACCACTCCAGATCTCACTCGGGTGTATGCTCATTGACATCGCCAAATTCCTCTTCATCTTTTTCCTGGTGCTTACGTCCTTCGCTTGCGGAATCAATCAACTGTACTGGTACTACTACCCTAGCAACGAGGATGCAGAAGATGTATTCTTCACGTAAGTAGTCTTATTACTTGTTGTAACATGTAGTCTTATTGGTTGGTCACTTGTTGAAATGATGTACAAGTTGGCATGTGTGTGGACCATTGCCCAGAAAACATAAACCTGAAGTATCGCTGATCTGCAGATTGATATGAGCATCAGCGAGTTGATCTAGGTGTCGTCAGCTACAGATGTATACAGGTGTGCTGCAAGTCACCCACTCCGAGTAAAGATGATGATGACAACAGAAGATACAGGCTGAGACAGGCCGAGATTTATATAGCGACGTACATGCATGTGTGTGTGTGTGTGTGTGTCTGTCTGTCTGTCTGTCTGTCTGTCTGTCTGTCTGTCTGTCTGCTTGTACTAGTCCGGACTGATACTGATTTATAGTTCTAGCCCACTGAGATACCATGCTGCAGTTTAACATAAATACCCAACTCAGACACAGTCTACTGACTCCGAGCCGACCCGTCCTTGTTTTAGCTCCTTAATGCCGAGTGCCAGACAGGGTAACAACAAGTACCATCATATAACGCCTTTTGGTATGGCGTGGCCTGTGATCGAACCCAGGACCTTCTGCTCTACGGGCAGACGCTCTACCACTTGACCAGGGAGGTAGTCCTCTGTGTAGTCACTAGGGGAATTGTTAGCTCTGTGTAGTAAGGGGAATTGCTAGCTCGGTGTAGTTAGGGGAATTGTTAGCTCTGTGTAATTAGGGGAATTGTTAGCTCTGTGTAGTTAGGGGAATTGTTAGCTCGGTGTAGTTAGGGGAATTGTTAGCTCTGTGTAGTAAGGGGAATTGCTAGCTCTGTGTAGTTAGGGGAATTGTTAGCTCTGTGTAGTTAGGGGAATTGTTAGCTCTGTGTAATTAGGGGAATTGTTAGCACTGTGTAGTTAGGGGAATTGCTAGCTCTGTGTAGTTAGGGGAATTGTTAGCTCTGTGTAATTAGGGGAATTGTTAGCTCGGTGTAGTTAGGGGAATTGTTAGCTTTGTGTAGTTAGGGGAATTGTTACCTCTGTGTGGTTAGGGGAATTGTTAGCTCTGTGAAGTTAGGGGAATTGTTAGCTCTGTGTAGTTAGAGGAATTGATAGCTCTGTGAAGTTAGGGGAATTGTTAGCTCTGTGAAGTTAGGGGAATTGCTAGCTCTGTGTAGTTAGGGGAATTGTTAGCTCTGTACAGTTAGTGGAATTGTTAGCTCTGTGAAGTTATGTGAATTGTTAGCTCTGTGAAGTTACGGGAATTGTTAGCTCTGTGAAGTTATGGGAATTGTTAGCTCTGTGTAGTTGGCATGTAAGATGTGTTTAAGCTTCTTGTAGGAGGTGAATGTGACATCTTTGTTGGCTGTTTTTGTGAGAAGGCTGCTGATCTGGTGACTGGTAGGGCCTTGGTATGGGATGCTAATGAGGATGGGCGATGGGGCTGTTTTGGACTAGGAACAGAATCTTTTTGCTGGGTTTTCTGGGTTCTATGAATGTTTTTCTCTACCCGATGTTTGGGATATCCTCTGATGGTGATGAAGATCTGTTTAAGGTGCTTGCAGATTGCTTGGTTTGTTGTTTTACACCGCACTCGGCAATATTCCAGCCATATGATGGCAGTCTGTAAATAATCAGGTCTGGACCAGACAATCATGTGAGTGATATCATGAGCATCGATCCACACAATTGAGATCGATGACATGCATCAACCAAGTCAGCGAGCCTGACCACCCGATCCCATTATTTGCCTCTTACGACAAGCATAGTCGCCATTTACCGCAAGCATGGGTTGCTGAAGACCTGTTCCACCCCGGATTTTCACGGGTCTTGACATGTAGTGAATATACTGGTCTGTGTGAGTGGGTTTGAGGTAGACGGCAGTGTGGATATGGTCATGACTGTTGTCGAGTTGTACATCAAGAAAGGGTAGTTGGTGCTGGCTTTCTGTTTCCATGGTGAACTTGAATCTTTGTTGTTGAAATGTTGAGGTAACCCAGCAGGGCTTCAGGCTCCTGGTCTTTGTCTAGGATGATGAACTGTCGCCTACTTTTTCTGTACCAGCGTAAAGGTTGGAAGGGGAGGATGTTATGGCAGCATCCTCAAAATAAGTCATGAAAATTTCTGTAATGAGTGGGGACACCATGTGCAGTGACATGGTAGGTCAGTAGAGTATTGGTATAAGGTTACTATATTATTAGGGGTGTGCAAAAAGGGCTACAAGAGTTATGCCCCTTTGTAAACAGAACGTTTGTTCCATCTGGCCTCAGACCACAATTAATTTCCTTCTTTGCTATCTACAGTGACATGACAGCCCACCATAATTATTATCAGTCGTAGGCTGTTCTCCTGTTGCATGCTGACCAACCTGCCACTTGTCACTTAAAACACCAAGTTTTGTCCAGCATCCACCACCTTGCTTTCGCAGTAACCACTGTCAACAATGCTCACCGGAAGTTTCGAGCCGAAACACACACAGCGGCCTTCAACTTGGGGTCAAATCATAGGAAGCTGGAATCAATACCTTCACAGATTGGGGCTAACAAAAAATTGACAGCAAACTACAATGTCTTATCTTTCATTTAAGCTATCACAAGTCACTCCAAAACAATTGCCACAGCCTGAACAGCCCATTTTAACAGGGTACTATATTCTCCTATTTTCCCTCCGGTTCATGGTAGAACTTAGGGGGGATAACTGTGGTCTGAGGCCATCTCACACAGTGTAGAATGTATCCTTAGTTACTGTATGTATATATTTCCTTCTTGATTGTGATGTCATGTACATGTGTTTAATGTTGTGATGGTACTGCCAGTTAGGTACTACGTAAAGATACCACGTTTTTAACTCGTCATTGTTGTTGTCATTATTGACTAATGATTTCAGACGAGGTGTAACAGTTTATATACAGTGACATTGTAGGTCAGTGGAGTAGTCTGAGATGCCATGATGGCAACGTTAGGCTCGTCTTGTATCTGATGAAGTGACCAAAAACAGTCCCTACCAAACACACCCCACATCCCAAGCCACACACCATACCCCTCCCCCAACATGCACAACCCCACCCCCTCCCACACCCCACCCCACCCCACCCAACCCCACCCCACCCCACCCCACCCCACACCTGCAGGGTGGTTTCTGCCTAACAGTCACTGCAGGGGCCAGTAGCAATTCTGACAAACATGGTGAAAATGTAGATCTGATGTAACTTATTCATATGGAGAAGGATTCTGGTAGACATGGCCTTTGGTTTCAAAACTGTTCACATTGAAAGGTTGATTACAACATGATTTGTAGCCTTGAAAAACTATTTGTTGAAGCCCCACTGTTTATCTCCTGCATTTTGTCTTGTGTTTGTAGCTTGCCCGGTGCCTACACAACGCTATTCTGGTCGCTGTTCAGTCTTACCCCCCCAAAAGCTGTGGAGATCCAGGATGCTCAGACATTCACCATCGCTACAGGGGAGCTGCTGTTCATGCTGTACCATGGCATGACCATCGTCGTCCTGCTCAACATGCTCATCGCCATGATGTCAAGTTCCTTCCAGGACATCGAGGTGGGCCAACCACACCCCACACACATCCACACCCACACCACACCCACACCCACACCCACACACCCACACCCACACCCACACCCACACCCACACCCACACCCACATCCCACATCCCACACACATCCACATCCACATCCACACCCACACCCACATCCACACCAACACCCACATCCACACCCACAACCCACCCACACCCACACCCACACCCACACCCACACCCACACCCACACACATCCACACCCATACCCACACCCACACCCACACACATCCACACCCACATCCACACCAACAACCCACCCACACCCACACCCACACCCAAACACATCCACACCCACACCCACACCCACACCCACAACCCACCCACACCCACACCCACACCCACACCCACACCCACACCAACACCCACAACCCACCCACATCCACACCCACACCCACATCCACAACCCACCCACACCCACCCACACCCACACCCACATCCACACCCACAACCCACCCACACCCACACCCACACACCCACCCACACCCACATCCACATCCACACCCACACCAACATCCACACCCACACCCACACCCACATCCACACCCACAACCCACCCACACCCACACCCAAACCCACACCCACACCAACACACACACCTACAACCCACCCACACCCACACCCACACCCACATCCCACACACACCCACACCCACACCCACACCCACATCCCACACACATCCACACCCACACCCACACCCACACCCACATCCCACACACATCCACACCCACACCCACACCCACACCCACACCCACATCCCACACACACCCACACCCACATCCCACCCACACCCACACCCACACCCACACCCACATCCACACCCACACCCACATCCACACCCACAACCCACCCACACCCACATCCACACCGACACCCACACCCACATCCCACACACATCCACACCCACACCCACACCCATACCAACACACACACCCACAACCCACCCACACCCACACCCACACCCACACCCACATCCCACACACATCCACATCCACACCCACACCCACATCCACACCCACATCCACACCCAAACCCCACCCACACCCCACCCACACCCACACCCCACCCACACCGACACCCACACTCACACCCACACCCACACCCACACCCACACCCCACCCACACCCCACCCACACCAACACCCACACCCACACCCACATCCACACACATCCCACCCACAACCCCACACACATCCACACCCACACCCCACACACATCCCCACACACATCCACACCCACACCCCACCCACTTCCCCATACACATCCACACCCACACCCCACACACATCCACACCCACACCCCACCCACACCCAACCCACACCCCACCCACATCCCCCCCACACCCCCCACACACCCCACCCACACCCCACCCACACCCACACCCCCCACACACCCCCCCACACCCCCCACACACCCCACCCACATCCACACCCACATCCCCACACACCCCCCCACACCCCCCCCCACACCCCCCACACACCCCACCCACACCCCACCCACACCCACATCCCACACACACCCACACCCCACCCACATCCCCCCCACACCCCATACACACCCCCCACACACCCCACCCACACCCCACCCACATCCACACCCACATCCCCACACACCCCCCCACACCCCCCCCCACACCCCCCACACACCCCCCACACACCCCACCCACACCCCACCCACACCCACATCCCACACACACCCACACCCACACCCACACCCACACCCCCCCCCCACACACCCCCCCACACCCCCCACACACCCCACCCACACCCCACCCACATCCACACCCACATCCCCACACACACCCCCACACCCCCCCAACACCCCCCACACACCCCACCCACACCCCACCCACACCCACATCCCACACACACCCACACCCCACCCACATCCCCCCCACACCCCATACACACCCCCCACACACCCCACCCACACCCCACCCACATCCACACCCACATCCCCACACACCCCCCCACACCCCCCCCCACACCCCCCACACACCCCCCACACACCCCACCCACACCCCACCCACACCCACATCCCACACACACCCACACCCACACCCACACCCACACCCCCCCCCACACACCCCCCCACACCCCATACACCCCATCATGAAGATCCGGGGTACAATAGGTTTTCAGCAACCCATGCTTGCTGTTAAAGACGACCAACGGGATCAGGTTGTCAGGCTTCCTGACTTGGTTGATGCATGTCATCATATTCCAATTGCGTGTATATGCTCATGATGTCAATCACTGGATTGTCTGGTCCAGGCTCAATTATATACAGTAGCTGGAATATTGCAGCATTATACAACAAACAATATTGACAGTAGCAGGTGACCTCGCCTAGATGAACACTATCAAGCTGACTTCATTTCCCGATGAACATTAGTATGTCACGTGATTACGTTGTCAATCGAGCGGAGACATACAAAACTACTTTAGGGGAATTCCTCCATGTCTAAAAAACCATTAAAAATCATTATGGAAACTGAGAGGGACATCGATTCAGGCTATGAATGACGCAGGCTTTGAAGCCAGACAGATCATGTGTCCATTCGAAGCTATAACAGAGAATGCTCGACTTACCAAAAGAAATCACTGAGCTCCACACTGTCGTGTATTGCTTTTGCAAATCCAATCCTGCCGCCCCAAGCGGTAATCCCTGTCATCAGCAGCTGTAGTATGACACAAACACATCCCCAAAGTTCACAGAACGTTAATATCAATCCATTTTCAGCATCAGCCGGGTCTGGATCTCTTTCCAACGTTAACTTTTCTGGGGGCAACTTTTATTTCAAACAAATGAGATTGCCATAGCTGGACATTTTCTGCCATTTGTAAAACCAAGGGATGTCACTCCAAGTGGAATGTTTGGGACAGATGACATCACAACTCTCCATGTTGATATAGTTTGCTTTAAATAATTTAAGTGTGATGTATAATGGATTGTTTTGTTATGATTTATGTATCTGTCAATATACGACATCATGAGCTTCGCGCATCATGGAATTTGCTCACATAAGACACTGGAACAAATACAACTTCCATCCTTAAAACAAATCCACCTACCTCCCACCGGCTGATGAGATGGTGGGGAACCTTGTGTTAAAAGTGTTTCCTCATTAGGCTGACGATTGAGGCCCTGGTTTGCCTGACCATGTTATAGCTATAATATTGCTTAAAGCAACACACAACCCTACACACGCCCACACATCCTCACATGAGTGAGTGAGTTGGGTTTAATGCCGCTTTTAACAGTATTCCAGTTATATCGCGGCGTGTCAGCTTAATGTGGGAGGAAAGTCCGAAGTGATGCAGGTCTCAGACGTTTACCACTTCGGTGAAACCCACGAACACGGGTATGGTGCTGACAAACCTAGAAACATAATCGGGGCGAACCGGGATTCGAACCCACAATCATAGGTTTCTGGCGTGCCCAAGGGACGCAACTCTGCACAGCGAATCGGGGCGCCTTAGACGACTGGGCCACCCGTGCCCCCAATCCTCACACGAGTACAGAATGCCATGGAATAATGGTTATCAGCTTTGTGTGGTCGTTGTATATAAGCCTGAACTGCGGCACATAGAGGGCGCTAGTTCTAGTGTGTGGTAGTCTTGTCCAGATGTCAGTTATCAGATGCAGCCCTGTGGCTGGAATATGTCAGGGACTTCAGGGGGCACAGGTGGCTCAGTCGTCTGCCGCCGTGATTCACTGTGCAGAGTTGCATCCCTTGGGCATGCCAGAAACCTATGATTGTGGGTTTCGAATCCCGGTTCTCCCCGATTATGTTTCAGCATCATACTGCCGCTTGTGGGTTTCACCATAGTGGTAAACATCTGAGACCTGCATTACCTCAGACTTTCCTCCCACATTAAGCTGACACGCCGTGATATAACTGGAATACTGTTAAAAGCGGTGTTAAACACAGCTCACTCACTCACTAGTAAGCGACTTTTTCTCTTGTGTTTCAGAACCACGCTGACATGGAGTGGAAGTTTTCTCGCTCCAAACTTTGGATGGGATATTTTGATGAGGGTTCCACCCTCCCGCCTCCCTTCAATCTCATCATCAGCCCTAAATCCATCTACTACTTCCTCTGTGCCCTAAAGAACTGTTTCTGTTTCTGCTGTCCAGCAAGTCGCAACAGCTCTACCCAGCGCAAGACGTCCGAGGGAACAATCAGGGTAAGACACACACCATGTCACCAGCAGTTGGCTTTTGTTTGTTACAGTTTGGTTGTTATCAGTACAATGTCCTGCTGTTTTAAAAAATTTCAGGTACGATTTTATTAACACGTATAATTTTGTCTTGTCGGTTGAGGGGTCTTCATCTTAAAATTTATTTCTTCTTTTTAACGTTCACATCAATAGCTTTTAAATGAAAGTTTATCATATCTCATCCTACTGCCAGTCAATCATAGGTCAATCACACAGTTGGTCAATCACACAGTCTCTCAATCATAAGTCAATCACACAGTCAGTCATCCTTAGATAAATCACACAGTTGGTCAATCATACAATCAGCCAGACAGTCAGCCAATCACACAGCCAATCATAAGTCTCTCAATTGTAGGTCAACCAAATAGTCAGTATATCATGGGTCCATCACACAGTCTGTCAATCATAGGTCATTCTCAATCACACAATCAGTCAATCATGTAATCACAATGTCAGTCAATCATAGGTTAGTCATAGATCAATCATGTAGTTGGCCAAGCATAGGTCGGTGGCACAGTTGGTCAATAACACAGTCTGTCAATCATAGGTCATTCTCAATCACACAATCAGTCAATCATGTAATCACAATGTCAGCCAATCATAGGTTAGTCATAGATCAATCATGTAGTTGGCCAAGCATAGGTCAATGGCACAGTTGGTCAATAACACAGTCTGTCAATCATAGGTCATTCTCAATCACACAATCAGTCATTCTCAATCACACAATCAGTCAATCATGTAATCACAATGTCAGTCAATCATAGGTTAGTCATAGATCAATCATGTAGTTGGCCAAGCATAGGTCGATGGCACAATTGGTCAATAACACAGTCTGTCAATCATAGGTCAATCACACAATCATTAAGTCATAGGTCCTTGAATTTCACTCTCTTTTTTACCTCATCTTCAATAAAACTTTCAATTTCCTTTTTTATCTTTATCTGTAAACAAATTGAATTACATTTTCTTCTAAACCTTTTAATCATTAAAATGTTCATTCCAAAAAGTGTTTTCCATTTGATAATACTGTTATCGTCATGCTTAACAGTAATCATTACAGGATGATAGTAAACATATTACATATCAAATGTATCTTCTCTTTTGATTCTATTAAAAAGTAAATTGATATTTTTGAAGATAATTTAAGTTTTCAAAGGGATCATAAACATGGCATACATTTGATGTAAAGAGAGACGACACTTGCTCAATTACAGTCAAATTTCGACAAATTGTCAGATATGATCAGTATCATGCTTTCATGTTTATGTAATGTTAAAGTTAAATTATGTCCTACACAATTCTTTGTAGTTAACCTTAATGTGGCCCTTTTAGTTTTTCTGAGTTAAATAAGCTTTTGTTTTTGTTGTAGTCCAAACAGTCTGTGGGCCCCGTGGAGTATGATATCTACAAGGTGAGCTACAACGTACTGTTATCTGCATGGGGGGGGGGGGGCTTCCCTGAAGTAGGACATGCCTTAAGGATGTATAACTCAGGCGATGCTAGGCAACGTTGGAGAGTAGTTGGATCGTGTTCGACAGCTTGACTCATGTTAATTTCTAGGGCTTCGGTCCTGCCCCACACTGAAGCACTTGTAGCACATGTGGCGTCTCCTTGGGCAAGTGACTGGAAACTCGTGTTGGATATTGACTCTGTTCACCCAGCAGTAACTGGGTACCCGGTTGGATGAGATGGTTATGTGACAATGTGTGGCAATACAACAGTTAATCTGTCACAAACTATGTTTGATTGTGTGTATGTCTGAGTGAGTGTGTATGTCTGAGTGAGTGTGTATGTCTGAGTGAGTGTGTATGCCTCTGTGTGTGTGTATGACTGAGTTTGTTTCTGTTTGTGTATGTCTGTTGGTGTGTCTGAGTGTGTATGCCTGAATTTGTGTATGTCTCAGGGTGTATTTCTGAGTGTGTGTATGTCTGACGGTGCATCTGAGTGTACATGTCTGAGTGTGTATGTAAGTGTGTGTATGTCTGACTGTGCATCTGAGTGTGCATGTCTGAGTGTGTGTTTATGTATGATTGAGTATGTCTGAGTGTGTATGTATGTCTGTGTTTGTGTGTCTGAGTTTGTGTGTCTGAGTTGTGTTTGTATATCTGTGTATCTGAGTTTGTGTATGTGTCTGAGTGTGTGTATCTGAGTGTGTATGTGTGTGTATGTCTGAGTGTATGTCTGAGTGTGTATGTGTGAGTGTGTGTTGCAGTGTGTATGTCTGAGTGTGTGTTGCAGTGTGTATGTCTGAGTGTGTATGCCTGAGTGTGTGTGTGTGTGTTGCAGTGTGTATGTCTGTGTGTGTGTTGCAGTATGTCTGACTGTGTATGTCTGACTGTGTATGTCTGAGTGTGTGGAATGCAGTGTATATGTCTGACTGTGTATGCCTGAGTTTGTTGCAGTGTGTTTGTGTGAGTGTGTTGCAGTGTGTATGTCTGACTGTGTATGTCTGAGTGTGTGTTGCAGTTTGTATGTTTGTATGTGTTGCTGTGTGTATGTCTAAGTGTGTGTTGCAGTGTGTATGCCTGAGTGTGTTTTGCAGTGTGTATGTCTGAGTGTGTGTTGCAGTGTGTATGTCTGTGTGTGTTGCAGTGTGTATGTCTGAGTGTGTGTTGCAGTGTGTATGTCTGAGTGTGTGTTGCAGTGTGTATGTCTGTGTGTGTTGCAGTGTGTATGTCTGAGTGTGTGTTGCAGTGTGTATGTCTGAGTGTGTGTTGCAGTGTGTATGTTTGTGTGTGTTGCAGTGTGTATGTCTGAGTGTGTGTTGCAGTGTGTATGCCTGAGTGAGTTGCAGTGTGTATGTCTGTGTGTGTTGCAGTGTGTATGTCTGTGTGTATGTCTGAGTGTGTGTTGCAGTGTGTATGTCTGAGTGTGTGTTGCAGTGTGTATGTCTGAGTGTGTGTTGCTGTGTGTATGTCTGAGTGTGTGTTGCAGTGTGTATGCCTGAGTGTGTGTTGCAGTGTGAATGTCTGACTGTGTATGTCTGAGTGTGTTGCAGTGTGTTTGTCTGTGTGTGTTGCAGTGTGTATGTCTGACTGTGTATGTCTGTGTTTGTGTTGCAGTGTGTATGCCTGAGTGTGTGTTGCAGTGTATATGTCTGAGTGTGTTGCAGTGTGTATGTCTGAGTGTGTGTTGCAGTGTATGTCTGAGTGTGTGTTGCAGTGTGTATGTCTGAGTGTGTGTTGCAGTGTGTATGTCTGTGTGTATGTCTGTGTGTGTTGCAGTGTGTATGCCTGAGTGTGTGTTGCAGTGTATATATCTGAGTGTGTTGCAGTGTGTATGTCTGAGTGTGTGTTGCAGTGTATGTCTGAGTGTGTGTTGCAGTGTGTATGTCTTAGTGTGTGTTGCAGTGTGTATGTCTGTGTGTATGTCTGTGTGTGTTGCTGTGTGTATGCCTGAGTGTGTGTTGCAGTGTGTATGTCTGAGTGTGTGTTGCAGTGTGTATGTCTGTGTGTGTTGCTGTGTGTATGTCTGAGTGTGTGTTGCAGTGTGTATGCCTGAGTGTGTGTTGCAGTGTGAATGTCTGACTGTGTATGTCTGAGTGTGTTGCATTGTGTTTGTCTGTGTGTGTTGCAGTGTGTATGTCTGACTGTGTATGTCTGTGTTTGTGTTGCAGTGTGTATGCCTGAGTGTGTGTTGCAGTGTATATGTCTGAGTGTGTTGCAGTGTGTATGTCTGAGTGTGTGTTGCAGTGTATGTCTGAGTGTGTGTTGCAGTGTGTATGTCTGAGTGTGTGTTGCAGTGTGTATGTCTGTGTGTATGTCTGTGTGTGTTGCAGTGTTTGTCTGTGTGTGTTGCAGTGTGTATGTCTGAGTGTGTGTTGCAGTGTGTCTGAGTGTGTATGTCTGTGTGTGTTGCAGTGTGTATGTCTGAGTGTGTGTTGCAGTGTGTATGTCTGTGTGTGTTGCAGTGTGTATGTCTGTATGTGTTGCAGTGTGTTTGTCTGTGTGTGTTGCAGTGTGTATGTCTGAGTGTGTGTTGCAGTGTGTATGTCTGAGTGTGTGTTGCAGTGTGTTTGTGTGTGTTGCAGTGTGTTTGTCTGTGTGTGTTGCAGTGTGTTTGTCTGAGTGTTGCAGTGTGTATGTCTGTGTGTGTTGCAGTGTGTTTGTCTGTGTGTGTTGCAGTGTGTTTGTCTGTGTGTGTTGCAGTGTGTATGTCTGTGTGTGTTGCAGTGTGTATGTCTGTGTGTGTTGCAGTGTGTTTGTCTGTGTGTGTTGCAGTGTGTATGTCTGTGTGTGTTGCAGTGTGTATGTCTGTGTGTGTTGCAGTGTGTTTGTCTGTGTGTGTTGCAGTATGTATGTCTGAGTGTGTTGCAGTGTGTATGTCTGTGTGTGTTGCAGTGTGTTTGTGTGTGTTGCAGTGTGTTTGTCTGTGTGTTTGTCTGTGTGTGTTGCAGTATGTATGTCTGAGTGTGTTGCAGTGTGTATGTCTGTGTGTGTTGCAGTGTGTTTGTGTGTGTTGCAGTGTGTATGTCTGTGTGTTTGTCTGAGTGTGTTGCAGTGTGTATGTCTGTGTGTGTTGCAGTGTGTTTGTCTGTGTGTGTTGCAGTGTGTATGTCTGAGTGTGTGTTGCAGTGTGTATGTCTGTGTGTGTATTGCAGTGTGTTTGTGTGTGTTGCAGTGTGTATGTCTGTGTGTGTTGCAGTGTGTTTGTCTGTGTGTGTTGCAGTGTGTATGTCTGAGTGTGTATTGCAGTGTGTATGTCTGTGTGTGTTGCAGTGTGTTTGTCTGTGTGTGTTGCAGTGTGTATGTCTGTGTGTGTTGCAGTGTGTTTGTCTGTGTGTGTTGCAGTGTGTATGTCTGTGTGTGTTGCAGTGTGTATGTCTGTGTGTGTTGCAGTGTGTTTGTCTGTGTGTGTTGCAGTGTGTATGTCTGAGTGTGTGTTGCAGTGTGTATGTCTGTGTGTATGTCTGTGTGTGTTGCAGTGTGTATGTCTGAGTGTGTATTGCAGTGTGTATGTCTGTGTTTGTGTTGCAGTGTGTATGCCTGAGTGTGTGTTGCAGTGTATATGTCTGAGTGTGTTGCAGTGTGTATGTCTGAGTGTGTGTTGCAGTGTATGTCTGAGTGTGTGTTGCAGTGTGTATGTCTGAGTGTGTGTTGCAGTGTGTATGTCTGTGTGTATGTCTGTGTGTGTTGCAGTGTTTGTCTGTGTGTGTTGCAGTGTGTATGTCTGAGTGTGTGTTGCAGTGTGTCTGAGTGTGTATGTCTGTGTGTGTTGCAGTGTGTATGTCTGAGTGTGTGTTGCAGTGTGTATGTCTGTGTGTGTTGCAGTGTGTATGTCTGTATGTGTTGCAGTGTGTTTGTCTGTGTGTGTTGCAGTGTGTATGTCTGAGTGTGTGTTGCAGTGTGTATGTCTGAGTGTGTGTTGCAGTGTGTTTGTGTGTGTTGCAGTGTGTTTGTCTGTGTGTGTTGCAGTGTGTTTGTCTGAGTGTTGCAGTGTGTATGTCTGTGTGTGTTGCAGTGTGTTTGTCTGTGTGTGTTGCAGTGTGTTTGTCTGTGTGTGTTGCAGTGTGTATGTCTGTGTGTGTTGCAGTGTGTATGTCTGTGTGTGTTGCAGTGTGTTTGTCTGTGTGTGTTGCAGTGTGTATGTCTGTGTGTGTTGCAGTGTGTATGTCTGTGTGTGTTGCAGTGTGTTTGTCTGTGTGTGTTGCAGTATGTATGTCTGAGTGTGTTGCAGTGTGTATGTCTGTGTGTGTTGCAGTGTGTTTGTGTGTGTTGCAGTGTGTTTGTCTGTGTGTTTGTCTGTGTGTGTTGCAGTATGTATGTCTGAGTGTGTTGCAGTGTTTATGTCTGTGTGTGTTGCAGTGTGTTTGTGTGTGTTGCAGTGTGTATGTCTGTGTGTTTGTCTGAGTGTGTTGCAGTGTGTATGTCTGTGTGTGTTGCAGTGTGTTTGTCTGTGTGTGTTGCAGTGTGTATGTCTGAGTGTGTGTTGCAGTGTGTATGTCTGTGTGTGTATTGCAGTGTGTTTGTGTGTGTTGCAGTGTGTATGTCTGTGTGTGTTGCAGTGTGTTTGTGTGTGTTGCAGTGTGTATGTCTGAGTGTGTGTTGCAGTGTGTATGTCTGTGTGTGTATTGCAGTGTGTTTGTGTGTGTTGCAGTGTGTATGTCTGTGTGTGTTGCAGTGTGTTTGTCTGTGTGTGTTGCAGTGTGTATGTCTGAGTGTGTATTGCAGTGTGTATGTCTGTGTGTGTTGCAGTGTGTTTGTCTGTGTGTGTTGCAGTGTGTATGTCTGTGTGTGTTGCAGTGTGTTTGTCTGTGTGTGTTGCAGTGTGTATGTCTGTGTGTGTTGCAGTGTGTATGTCTGTGTGTGTTGCAGTGTGTTTGTCTGTGTGTGTTGCAGTGTGTATGTCTGAGTGTGTGTTGCAGTGTGTATGTCTGTGTGTATGTCTGTGTGTGTTGCAGTGTGTATGTCT